ACTCTTATTCCATTGGGACAGTCACTTTCAGAAAAGATGGAGGAAGACCCACCACAAAACTTTGATTTGGTGTATCTTTGTAGAATCTTTGCCAAGTGGTTTTACCATTATGATACTTTCCAAGTAGTCTAGACTGATTATAAAGCATTGATTGTTGACAGAGATGTCCCATCAGCCTAGCTGAGCTAAGTGGTCTTGAAAGTAGCATTGAAATAATGAAAACATCAATATATTTACTTTGTATAGATAGGTTTTTGTTTCTCTATACCAATACATATTTGAAGGTAGGAAAAGATATAGCATTTTAGGTTAACTTTTTACATTGTGGGTTTGAACTTCTGAAGATCTCTCTTATTACTTCTGTGTTCATGAATGTTTTATTCAGTGACGGAACAGAGATTGCTGTGTTCATGTCCCATGTTTGGGCCGTCAGCCAGGTTACTCCCACCTGAAGAAGTGCTCTGTTGTTTCTTAAAATGGGAGACTGACATTTTAAAAACAAACAGACAAACAAACTAAAAACAAAGAGGTAAATGAATTCTATTGTAGTTTAGAACAATTACATGTTAATTTTTATTCCTTGTTGTTTGAGTAGTCAGTGTAGATACTGCCATGACCACAGATCCAAAGTACAGATAATTTATTACTCTCAGAAACCTTTTTTTGAGTGTAATGAAGCATGAAGGCTATTTAAATAAAAATTCAGTGTTACAACAGGCCCCAAGACCTGCCACAATGAGTAAGAACCATGCAGTGAAAGTGCATCTTTGGTTCTTGCTCAAATTGTACAGAAATGTTTGACTTTCCCTCATGAATCTTATAGAAAGCAAGGCGAGTGTCTCTTTGTGAGAGATTTATAAACATGTCCTTGAAGCCTGAGTGGTGAGGGTCATGTTCTGCTGAAAAGCTGGCAGTTTTTCTAGTCTTTACCAGATTCAGCTATTGTCCTTGCGTGTTTCATTGTATTGTGACTCTCCCTGTCATGTTCTCTCCCCTAAAAACTTGCTGTTTATTATACCAGAATAAATATTCAGCATTTATAAAGCAATTTTCATACATTCTTGCTTGAATAAAGAAGTGCATGGCTCTTGACTTCCGAGAAAGCTTAAAGTATTCTTTTGCTATGACCTTAGAGATTTTACTTAGTCATGCAATGAGGCTTTATCCTGTGAGATGTGGAAGGGTTTTGCTGACAATTTGGAGAGCTTTTAGCAAAACATTAATGATTAAAGTACTAAAAACAGTTTTCAACGTAAAAGCTGACAGAAACTTGCATTCTCTCAGCCAAAGCAATTTAAAAAATATATTCAAATAACTCTTCTTAACAAGCCACAGGACCTGCCAAATTACATTTTGAAAGCCAAATGAGCACACCTTTACATTGGTGTAGGAAGAACCTTTTATGACTATTTGAGATGAGCTTTTACTAATTGTATTTGACTGCTAAGTGGGAGGCTTGGTGAAGAAACAGTTAACCGTAAGATGCTGAAACTTGCAGTGTGTATCATTTCCCTATGTGGTGGTGTGCTGAACTGCTGAAGTGCTACAGCTGAATTAAAGAAAAGGGGAGCAGGAAACAAATAAATGATGTACGCATGTCTTAAATAATTTGTGAATATTTCTTACACTGTTCCTATGTAGTTGAAACACTTCTTATGCTTCAGGAAAATAAAGAAGTGTGAGAAATTCTGAGCTAGTTCTGATGTCTTTTATTTAGGAGCTTGTGGGATAAATCTTCCTCTGTTGGTAGAGGCAGGGAAGATAGGTGCTTTGAGCCCTTTACCTTGACCTAAAGTGGAGAAAGAGTCACTGGCTTAACTCTATGTGAGCTCTTGTGCTAAATGCAAAGAGGGGTGGGCTGGTTTGAATTTGTTTTATATTATGTTTAATTGCTGACAGGTAACAACTTGTGAAGACAACCTCAGAGTCAGGCTTTCTCAATGGTAGGATCCACAATGCCTGTTATAAAGGTTTTAAGTGTAAGTGTTAATAGGACTTCTCTCGTGGTGATGATCTCCTTTTAAATTATACAGGCTTTTGAACTATAAGGACAGCTGGTGCTAGAGAAGAAAAAAATAAAATACATCTTTTATATTTCTGCAAATGTACCCACTAGGTCACACTTTGGTAGTCTGCAGCTTTCAAACCATTCAAGCCTGGAGGTATGGAAGCAACTTCCCTATAGGAATAGAGGGCGTGAAAAAATTTGAGGGCCTTCACATTGGGATTTATAGGATCATCTGTTTGCTCTTAAGAACAGTCTAGGGATAGGGATGAAAGATTCTTGATCCCTGACTAGTATGGCTTATTGTAACTTTGCTTTTATATTGAAAAGCTAAGTCCAGTGACTTGTGATAGTTTGATTTTGGTCAGTGGTGTGCAAAATCTTGGTTGTGTGGATGCATTGTGCCATGACCTTAACTTCTGCTGAGGCTATGTTAGATCCCAGCCTGTTAGAAATCATATTTCACTAAATGCTTAAATGTGTCTAAGAATCAACACTACAGCACTTGCCCTTATACAGCTCATTATGGTCTTTTAGTCAGCCCTATCACCCATCTGCCCTAAATCTGCATTACTTTTGCACATATTTGCTTGTAACCCTACTGTGTATTTTCTTTGCTTGTGGCCTTTGCTCATAATATTGAGTGAAAAATTTAATTACAATGAAATGGCATTTATGCAATCAGCTACTGTTTTCTCCAAATTTTATTATTTTTTTTTGCCTAATTGAAACTCCCAAATGAAAACAGATGATACTTGAATGTTCTTATTCCTTTCACCAGTAAGTAGCAAATGAAAAGCAATTGCATGAACAAATCTGAAAAAACGAGAGACGAAGAAAAATAAAAAATCAAAAGAAACATTTTCACAAGCAAAAGAAATGAATGCTTTAAAATTATTGATTTTTATTACTCAAAAGCTTCACTTAGATTATTTTATGATTTTCTAGCCTATTTTCAAAATCTTATGACCACTTTTCTGTAAGTTCAGAGTCATTTGGTGCAGGTGTACTACAAACAATCATGAGTGATTTTAAAGAATCTGGCAGTATTTTTTTCTTCAAAGAATAAGATGTGATCACCTGGTGACACACATATATTTAGTGTGTGTTCTTGCCATTTGTTTCAAGAATGTTCCTTACCCTTCCTTTCTGGGTTAATATTTAAATAATTATATTTTAACATAATGATAATTTAATAATGATGGGAAATCTGATTTCTTTGCTAGATTTGATGGTCAGTCCAGTTTAGATGCTTCTCTGAAATTTCCATTCCTAAATCACACCATCTGAATCTGTAAAACTGATTTCAGATCTTGCTCCCACGGCTGACTGTGCAAATATAAAGTGTTTCAGAGAAAAATGTAGGAAATTCTATACTGATCTGTTGTAGGATTTTAAAAAAATAATAATTGGCTTATATAGGACTTTTCTACTTTTAAGCTCTGCCCTCACAAAGGCAAGCAAGCAAGCAAACAAAAATATTTTTGGTTGTACCTGAGATAAATTTTCTGTGTTTTGTGTGGCAATTTTGAAAATAAAACATCTCAAAAACATGCAAACTGTAATCCAAGCTTTGTTAGAAACTATCTTCTTTTGTAGTGGTTTTCTGTTCCTGATGCACTGAATTTTTAAAATAATTGCTGCTCTGTGAAGATACAAAGCATGTTCCAGTTACTGAGTTACTGGTGCAAAGTCTGTACTTTTGAAGGAAAAAAAAACCAAGACAAACATAAGTGTTGTGAAGGTGATGAAAACCTGTGACAGCCTATGAGACATGGCCGATAAAAATTTGCAGCTATAGCTGTAGTTGTGAGAAATTTATTTGTGATAAATACCCATCAGCTACAAGCATGGAAGACATACTTTGGTGAGTTGCTTTAAGGTCTCCATAGCTTTCACCCGAGAAACCTGGCGGGGCTGGTAGACTCAGTCTGGTCTGCTGTTTCTCAGTTCTTATGCTGGATGGCAGCCAGTGCATTAGTGCTGGACCTGTTCCTGTCTGTGCCTGGAATTACTCCCCAGGAGACAGCACAGCCCCCACCAGGCAGTGTTGCGGAGAGGCAGAGTATTTGAGTAAACTCAGGCCATCTGTTGGTTGCATAAATTAGTTTTCCCCATTTGCCCATCTAACCATAAGGTATCCACTTTTTAAATTTTTTTTTTCCCCCTTCTCCCCCAGTAACGTACTTTTTATTTATCCAGTTCTAGTAGAACAGAGATAGGCAAATGGAATTCTTGCTACTTTTTTTCTTCTTTACTTCTTGTGGTTGCATGCGTTTCATTGTAGTGGCTTAGTTTAACTAATCAAATTATCTCCTTTATATGTGTTCTGCTTTGAAAACAATTAATGGCTTCTCGCCAGAGAAAATCTTTATTCATGATAGAGGAGAAACATGATTATAGTTCCCTATCCCTCTGCCTCCCAGCTTCTTTCCCCTTTCATTTTTCCCCATTTCCACTTTTTTTTTTTTTCATTTCCCCTATTTTTCTTTTTTTATTTGTTGTCTTCCTCTTCTTTTCTCATGAATACTAACACTATAATTTGAATAAATAGTTAAGGGACTAAAGTAATTACATTAGCATAACTTAAACAATTTACTTCAAATGGTAGGTTTGTTGTTTAGCATTCAAGGAAGAATTAAATTCAATCACTATTTGATTTTAATTTAAGCAATTTTAAAGGTTCTCCATTTTACTTTTGTCTCAGTATTCTCTGGGAACCAGTTTCCTGAGTATTTAGCAGTTGAATAGTCTGTCACTAGACACAATCAGTTTTGAAGATTTATTAAATTATTTTTAGTGGCACCTTCTACCTCTCAGACAAAAAGGTGAAGTATTTCTTTCACAAGGCACATCTGGATTTTCCTAGCAGTAATCTTTCTGAAGCACTCCAGGAAGAACAGAGGACATCTTAATGCCTGTTCTGTCAAGTTGCTTTGCTTATTTTGAATGTCTGTTGTCATTCTGATTTATTTCTTTTTCTTTCCTCTTGCAGATTTATTTGAAAAACAGAGATTTGTATACTGTAGAAGCCAACAATCCTCGTCAGCTAGTGGAAATTGCAGCCAGAGACATTGAAAAACTTCTGAGTAACAGGTCGAAAGCCTTGGTGGTGAGTACTAGTGAGTTAGATTTTCTATTTAGCACTTTAAAAATCTTTCTTTATTATTGAAACATACTTTCTTATGTTTTTTTTTGCTGCCTGTACACTTACAGGCAGTGTCAGTGTGATGCATACAGGACGTGACATGTAGAAAGATGGTTTGTGACTTCATGGTAGAAAATGAACTCATTAGTTCATTGGCATAGGGAAGATGATTATAATATTGATGGATGGGTTAGGAACCATGGCTCAGTAACAAATCAGTTATAAATAGATTGGAAAATATTCCTTGAAGTGACTCACATGAATGTTTATGACTAGAAGATCACTGTAGACTACAGTCAGCAGTGATCTTGGGGAAACAGGAGGTAGAGGGTTTTTTAGGTGTGATTTACAAATAATAGTATTTTAGAAGTAATTATGTTAATTTTGTACTCTTGCCAGCTGCATCTATTGATATTTAGTCTCTTTGTCTTTTTAGTTATTTGATTTTTCTTGATGGTAGCAACTAATACTTCTTCAATAAATGTAGCCATGTGTGAATCAGATTAATTTTCATACCTATGCTATTTCTGACTTTCTAATTTAATATGTATTTCAGTCACGTCTCGTATCAGCAAAGTTAATCCTGGACTATTAGTGTGAAGACTATGCTTCATTGTAGCCTCACAATTCTTTGTGCTTTATATAAGAAGCAGCTGTTTCTTTAAAGTGCTTTTGCCAGGAGTCCCTTTGTCTACTGAGTAAGATACCAAACCTGGGTAATTGCTTCTTATGATTCCTGCTCACATCACTGTGAGTGGTGTTACAGTTCAGAGTGCTTTTCAGAAGGTACTGACCAAACATTCACAGGGGGATCCAGATGCATTCATAAACATGCATTTTACAGGGTGTAGCTATTAGAGATGGAACAGGAGACTGGGATTCTCTGAGCAATTCCATATCCACATATAGACGAGTTTGGATGTGTCATTTGAAGCTAAAGAGATAAGAAAGAGGAATTAATTCACTTAACTGGAAACATCTACTCAGGTCGCCATCCTGAGCTTCATTTTTGTTCAGTGCGTTTCTCAGTCAGGGTTGGCCTGACATGTTCTGAACAAGACTTTAAAATAGGATGAACTGCAGCCCAGAAGTACTGATTGTCTCTTGTTTGATCAGAGAAGCCTTCATGTAAATGTCTATACTGTAGATGTGTAAAGTTGGGGATGGTAAGTCCCACCCAAGCGGTCCTTTTATCAGTACAGTCCTGGACTATCTGTCATGTAAGTGATGAGGTTTTGCTCAGTCAGTTGTTAGCACATAGGTATCACACATTTTCTTGCCTTTTGTTATTCACAGGAGTTCACTCTTCCAGTCCCCATAGCTTCCCTAACACTCAATGTACATCAGCATTGTCTGGGCCAAAGCTTCTCCACTTAGATGAGTGTAAAATAGAGATTATTTTTTTTGTTTTCCTGTTTTAATTTGGTGGGCACGTGTTTATGTAGCACTCAGTGAACTCTGTGTTATTATTTCAAAATATAGATAATTTGCAGACTTTTGTGAACACACCAGGTTTTCCAGTATTTTCCCATCAACCCATATCAGTCTGATGTTTCTAAGTTATCACAGCCAAATCTTGTTTTTTCTTGAAACTCAAGGTTAATGTAGGGGTGTCTCAAATAAGTGTCTCATGCTTGCTTTACAAAAAGTTTCAGAACAGTTTTTATTTGAATATGGAAGAAAGTTCCCTACCCCATTTTAGACAAGCCCTTTTGAAAAGGTTAATACGATTCTGCTCCCTGACATAAAAGATTAAAGATAAGAAGATTTGTTTTGTTTAAGAAGTTTTGAAGTCTTGAGAACTTTTCAGATAATTTTAAATGATCAAGTCAGTACATCGTGAAGGCAAATAAAGAGTCCTTCAGATGTATTACTGGCTGAAGACTTATGATGTTAAAACCAGTTCTATTATTTTGGTGGATGGATGTGACTCATGATGTCTTTAATGCTTGGGTTGCTATTACTGCCATCACTGCAGTGAATGTACAATGCTTGTTATTTTTACCTGCATGCCATCATTTCAGGATGCATATCAGCAAGACTTCTGCATGACATCTTTATCAATCTTGCCACTTCATGCAGAGTGAAATTTCTCTCCAAAGAGGTGGAAATAACTTAGCTCCCCCCACACCCTTCATGCAACTGAATTTGATTTGCCACTTTTAAATACTGATCAATGATGCTTCTCTTCAGTGTTTGAACATCTCTACATTTTAAAATTACTTTTTTTCCTTTTTTTTTTTTTTTTTTTTTTTTAATTGGCTGGGAATTAACACAATTTAAAAACCTTAATTACATGATTAAAACACATACATAAGATCTTTATTGTAGCAAAATTGTTAAAATGACCTGTGGAAGCATTCCTCTGCTCCAGTACAAGAAGGATAGAGTTGACTTACAGAGGTTGTCAGGTTTCAGATGATTTCCTTATTTAAACCTTCTGTGAACTTTGTGTACTTTTCATGTCCTAATTACATATATATATAAATCCTAAATTTTATATATATCTCTCTCTTTATATTTGATAACCTACTGTGCTTTCTTTTTTTTTTTTTTTGGCAACTGATACTTGATTTCTCTCTCTATATCCTACTTTGTTTTTTTACTTCCTTTTTTAATACTTAAAAATCTAGATACATTTTAAAAATAAGAATTTACAAAAATGCATTCTGCAGAACAGCTTTCTAGGGATGGTTGCTCATAGATAGTTCCAGAGAAAAATTACTTTTCCTCTTGTATTAAATGCCAGACATAGCAAAAGCCAATGCATTAAAAAAACTAGTATAACCTTTCAAAGTAGTAAAAATGACTGTGTTGAGCAAGCTTATTATTATTTTAATTGCTTGATTTATCTTATGATTTCTGATTCAGATATTTTGCTCAACCATTATCAAGATTGGCTGTTCTGGGGAGTTTTGTTGTTGTTTCTGTAAAAATTGTATTTCCGATGTATATTCATGTACCCAGATCCTTAGCTTGACAAAAAAAAAAAAAAAAAAAAGGCAAAAAAAGCAAAAAAAAAAAGCTGAAAAGGCCTGAAAAAGCATTAATTAAGGGAAAAAATACCCTTTTATTAATATTATTCTTAGTTAGGTCTCTAGGTCTCTTTGCTGACTCTTATTTTATGTTCTTACTAATTTTGAATGACTTCATGTTGTTCTGCCTTGTGCTATCACCTGACCTTAGGAGCTCCTAATGGTTCAGATATTTATATTGGGTTTTCCATTTGTAGTTGTCCCAGATTTATATCAGAGCTTTCAATTAATTCTGATTTTAAACCTTCCTCTACATTATTTTTCTACTTATCTGAACTATTACTTTCTATTAAGAGAATTTATTTATCTTACATATGTATTTCTTCTTTCTTCAAGAGCTGTCTTTCTGGTGATGTTTTGTAAACTTTATGTAGTGAAGCTGAATTATTTATTTATAATTTAAGTCTTCTTAAATCTGCTGGGTCACATTTTCTCAAATCAAAAGTGAAGTTGAATGGAACTGTTACTAATGACTGCACAGAGGGTTTTACTGTTGGGGCTAATATGACTCACAGTGTTAATTAAGACCTGAATCCTGAAAAGAGTATGATGCAAAAGGATCATACCTCCTCCAGTGATGCTATGAGGAAGGTGCTGGTGAATGACATCAACAGTGGTGTTGTTCAGAGATTCACAAACCTGAGGGATGCCATGGTTTTCTCTAGGCATACTACACAATCACATTTTGGGCAAGGTTATAGTAAGCAAATGTTAGTCATAACTTTTTGAATAATAAGTTGGCTTCCCTTGAGCTGCAAGATCACCTTTAAATGAGAAGTACTCTTTTATTTGTGTGTGTGTGTTTCATGGAACTTTGTGCTAGAAAACTGTCTAGCTATGTGTTCTGGTTTTTGCTGGGTTAGAGCTCATTTTCTTCTTAGTAGCTAGAACAGTGCTATGTTTTGGCTTTACTTTGAGTTTTGGTATAAGAAGAATGTTGATAATACACTGATGGCTTTAGCTGTTTCTAAGAAATCAAGGATTTTCCAGCTTTCTGTGTTTTGCTAGTGTTCATGTGCACAAGAAGCTGTGAGGGAGCATAGCAAGGACAGCTACCCCAAAGGGATATTCCATACCATAAGATGTCAGGCTCAGCATATAAAGCTGGGGGAAGAAGAAGGTGGGGGGGGGGGCATTTGTAGTGATGGTGTTTGTCTGCTTGAGTAATCATTACGCATGATGGAGCCCTTCTTTCCTGGACATGGCTGAATACCTGCCTGCTGATAGGAAAATGAATGAATTCCTACTTTTGCTTCACTTTTTGCTCATGGCTTTTGCATTACCTATTAAAGTGTCTTTATCCCATGAGTTTTCTCACTTTTACCCTTCCAGTTCTCTCCCCAGTCCTGTTGGGGGGTGGGAGAATTGAGCAAGCATCTGTGTGAAGCTTAGAGTCTGGCTGGGATTAAACCACAAAACCATGACTTCAAGGTAAAATTACCTGGTGATTCTGTGCATTACACACAGAAAGCTTGGGTAACATGGAAACGCTTTTTTATTTCATTTCTGGTTTATATGAGGCAGTAACATAAAGAGTTATACATTACTTGTTCCACCATAAGGGAAAAAAAAAAAATGTTTGTTTGTTTGTTTGGTTTTTTCATGTGTATGAATTTCTGCTTGAGAACAGCTTCAAAATAGTGGTTGAAATAGCCACTTAGCTGGAGAAGGAGAAAGAGGGGAGTCCTTATCTGAACTCAGAAGGCTTTCCTTTTATTAGAAAATGTTAGAAGAATTAGAAGAAAATTAAAATTAAATTAGAAGGAAAAGTCAGAATGAAAGGAAAATGGAGAATTTTTTAGCGAAGTGTGGTAGAGGAAGAGAGTGTTATGAGTAGTATGGAGAGGTACAGGCAACATCCTTATAATCAAGAATGTCAAAGACTTCTTGCAGTAGACCTTGTTGTTCAAATAGTAAAATTGGATTTTT